TGCATGATCCACACCTGCCAGCATGTGGATCAGGTCAGCCTGGGGGGGGGAGCGGATGGGAGGGGAGGGGAGGGGAGGATGCTGAACGGAAGGCCATGGAGGTGTGCAAGCGTGTTCTGGCACCTGCATGCGGGGGGAGCCCGTCGGTATCCTCATCCCGTCCCGTCCCGTCCGCCAGCACACGTCTCTCATCACCCCCGGCCCCACCCACCTGCAACTCCTCCCCATCAGCCCGGATGCCCTCGTCCACCTCGCCGAGGAAAATCTGCGAGCCGGGCGAGAGGGGAGTTAGGCGGGGGGTAGGCGGGGGATAGGCGGGGGGTTGGCGGGGGGTTGGCGGGGAATGTGAGAGACCCAGGAAGGGTAATTCCAGCGCGGGGAAGATACGGCACAGTATGGGTATAGTACGGGACCCTCCACGCTGGTAAATCCTTCACGGGGTCCCTCCTACGACCGGCGCCACCTGGAGAGGCCCACCTGGCCGCGGGCGGCACTGCGGGCTGGGTGATCCCCGGCGGGGAACAGGTGGGTGGGGCCCCCACACCTCCCTCCTGATCCCTCGTCTCCCGGAATTCCCCCCACCGCACCCGACCGCACCCGAATGAAGAGCTGGCAGTCCGGGTCGTACGAGTGCTGACCCAGAGTGTACATCAGGTTGTAGGCAGTCTCGGTTACGGTGCGGGGGTTGACGAACTTGCGCTGTGTCGTACGGGGGCGCATGTGGGATGTGGAGTGGGGCACAGCGGTAAGGACAGCAGTTGGCGACGAAGGGGCGGTTGGGGGGGCGGGTGCAGAGGAGGGCGCGCCCCTGGGTTGCTGAGGCAGCGGCAAGGGGAGGCGCGAGGAGGGGCCCGCGGGAGCCATGAATCGGCGCACCACCCCAGGGGCCGCCACCCGGCAGCCCGTCCGTCTGTCCGTCCCTCAGTCAGGATAAATACCAGCAGCCCTTCTCGTCCCCGTCCTCCGGTTAACTGAGACTCCTCTTTCGGGCTGTAGCTGTATCAGGCATTGTCACGTCCCCGCTAGCTAGCTGGCTAGCTGCTGTCATGTCTCCCCCGTCAACATTCCTCTCCCCCCTCTTGGTTGGCCCTAGGGGTGTTTCAGCCCCGAAACCCTGTACGATAGCATGTCAACATATACATACACACACAGACACAACATGCATCAGCTCGCCTTCACCCCCACCCCACCCCCACCTGCATGAAGGTGAGTACGAAATCCGCCAGTGTCGTACGGGCTCCCGGGTTGCGGGACTGCCAATCCGCCTTAGCCGCCCAAATGGTGTTGACGAGCTTCTCGGCATCAACCTTCTCCATGCGCCTGGGGGGACAGGGGTACGGGGGTTTGGCACACCCAGGCACGGTCGTACAACACCAACACAGGACACCAGGTGCGGGGCGTGCCAGGCCTACCCCACAGAAAAGCTCCCTGAGGCGTGGCGGCCGGAGTGCTATAGCTGGCGAACTGTTTTGCAAATAATTGGCCGCCGCTACAGCCTCAGCCCGCAGTGCCTTCGGCAACGGAGCGACATGCGTGTGCGTGTGCGTGTGTGTATGTGTATAAGGGTTGTAGACCCCAGCCCGGCCTCCACATGCGATGTCGAACGAAGGGGCGACCGGTGGGGGCGGTGAAGGCGGCTGGCTAAGAGGAGTACTGTCCAGCTTTCCCCCCCCCCCCGTCCCCCCCCCCTCTCACTCTCCACGCTTCTCCCCTCCCCCCTCCCGCACACACCTCCGCGACCCCCTGCAGTACTCCGGGAGGGACTATCACGGGAGGGATCTGCATCCGCCGATTGGTACTTCCTTGACGTCGCCTGGTACATCACCTCTCCCGCCTGCTCCCAACAATGGCATCTCACATCACCCGCGCAACAGCACAATCTGAAGTCGTACTTCGCCAGGGCCCTGCCCTCGCACTTCCCTCCCCCGCTTCCACAGATACTATGGCCCACCTTACCAGGTACCCTACCCTCCTGCACACACATACAAATACACATACACACACGCGCCCGCGCAACCTCCCCACCTGTTGAACACCCGGCCCTCCGCGTGCAGCACCTTGGGCACCTTGTCACTGCAGCCCAGGCCCTCAAAGAAGTCCGACCACTTGGCCGCCATGAAGGCGTGGACCGGGGGCACCGGCCGCTCGCGGGCCTGAGGAGGAAAGGGAGAGGCGTCCCGGGCACCGGGCAGGACGGGGAGGACGGGGAGGACACGGGAGGCAGCCGCAATGCGAAATGGGGGGAGCGACATGGCGGTGGGAATGAGAAGGGAGACACATATGCAAGGAAAGCAAAGGACGAGCGGCTGCCAGCATCCAAGGTACCCCCGAGCACTGCGGTGGTGGTGGCCCAGTACAGCGTTACGGACAGCGGGGCGGCGGTGAGTGGACCGGCTGGACAAGAATGTAAGAGGGGGGAGAGAGAAGGGGGGAGGGGGGAGAGGGAGAGAACGGATCCTTTGCTACATGAAAGATAACACAACATGTATGAAAAGCAGGTATGCGTGTGTGTGTGTGTGTGTGTGTGTTTCAGCCAGGGGCGACAGAGCTCGTGCGAGGTGCAGCAGTACTCTTATGGACATCATATGCCGAGGGAAGTTCCCGGCCCCCCCACCACCGCCCCCACCACCACCTTGCGCTCCTTGGCGTCCACTTCCGCCTTCACCCGGGCCCTCTCCGCCCGCTTGTGGTCCGCCAGGCAGCGCTTGAGACGAACCACCTCCCTGGAGTGGTGGGGGTGGGGTGGGGGCCGGGGGGGGGGGTCGGGAGCAGCGCTGGGCCAGCCGCAACGGTTGCAAGGCGGAGATGCTACGTAGAGCATATAAGGTACGTAGGACGCTATCAAAGCGATACGCGACATGCGGGGCGAGCTGCTGCCGCCACCCTTAACACCCCGGACACCTCACAAGCACGATCTCAGGGCTCCTGGCTCCATCAGCGCCACGCCAGCCCAAGGTCCCTCCGCGGCACTTCCCCCTGTTTGACGTCCGATCTCATACGCCAAATTCCATGGGGCACCTCGTCTTTCGTCTCCTTAACCGCCCTCCCCGTCTTCCCCCCTCCCCCTCCCCCTGTTCCCCCTCCCCCTGTTCCCCCTCCCCCTGTTCCCCCTCCCCCTGTTCCCCCTCCCCCTGTTCCCACCTGTGCAGCCCCTCCGCCTTGTCCTCCATTTCTTTGATCCGCTGTCCGGTGCTCTTGGAGGCCAGCTCCAGGCCCGAAGTGATAGGGCCCCCCAGGTCCAGGGGTGTGTGCTGGAACTGCCTGGACAGAAGACCTGGGGCCGGGGGGCAGCAGGGCCGGGGGAAGAGGGGAGGGAGGCGGAGGAGGCGGGCGGATCAGGTGACGGAAGATGCAAAGAAAGAATTGGCCCTCATTGAGGAGGGAGGAGAAAGGAAGGAGACGGGAAAGGAGGAATGATATACTTTAATCCGCCAAAGCACCAGCTGCTGCTGCTGCTGCTGCTGCTGCTGCAAACACATCCATTGCGAAATCCTCCACGAAAGCCGCCACGCCGACTGCCCAATGTTCTGGAACATCCCAATGTTCCGGACGGGCGACGGGGGAGTCGAAACGTCCTAGAGCACGTGCGCAGAGATGCAAGCGCCCGGGTAAAAGGAAGTGGTCACGGTAGGCGGCACAAGACAACAACAACAACAGCTTGGAACATGGGTTCGGATGTGAGCTACACACCGGCCTACAGGGCTCTGCAGGGGGCTGCCGGAGGGCCAAGGCCGGGGCGCAGGGCATATGGTCGCCTCACAGCGGAGCTTCAGCGGTAATTGCCAGCTGCCCAACCAGGCCGACTGAGGCCCTCAGAGGGGCCAGCTACCTGCAGGACAGCCAGTACCCGCTGTGTGCGTAGTAAAGCTGGCCCCTCCCCTCCACCATTACCCCCCCTCTGCTCCACCCTCTCCAACACAAGCGTCTCACCCACGAGGTCCTTGTACGGCAGGAAGTTATATCCCCCGGGTGACAGGCAGCCCAGCAGCCAGCAAGACATTGCCCGAATAGGCACCCCCAGCTGCAGTGCCGCGCCCATGGCGTCCACCGCCTCGTCAGGGAACAGGCGCCTCAGCACAAGCACATCGCCGTCTTCCATTAGGGAGACGAGCCACGACTGGGGGAGGAGGGGGAAGGGAGAGGGGAGGGAGCACGGGGGGGAGGGGAGGTGGTTTGGCAAAGGGGTAGCTGGACAGGAAGAGGGGAAGTGGCACCCGATACATGGCTACGTGGGGGGGTGGGGGTAGGAGAGGAAATCCAATCCCAGAGGTTGTGCTGCAAGAGCACGTGTTTCCTGCGATCGCTGTGAGTGCATGGGGGAAACAACAGCGACGGGACTACGGGCTGCTGCCATAAACACAGCGCCCCGCTCCACGTCCATGTCATCGCCTGCTCCACCGGCTCCTCGGGAAGCCGCCAGGCACTTCCCACGCTGGCAGCGAGCAGGCAGCCCCCCCCCCTCGAATGCTCCCTCCCTCAATCCATTCCTCCAACCCGCATACACTCCCCTCCCTCTTCCTCTGACCACCCTCTCCCCTCCACACCCACCGCCCTTGCCCCAACCCCTCTCTTCTCACATGCAGCCGCTTCATATACGCCTGCTGCTGAGCCAACGCCATGGCCTGACGACGAGCAGTGGCTGCGGCATCCCCGCCTCCAACTCCGCCCATCGTGCTCGGCCGCGATGGGGAGGCTCTGGGGGCCCCCATGGCACTCAGGCGAGCAGGGGAGCAGCCGCTGATGCCCTCAGGGCCCGCGGTGGACACAGCCTGTCCCTCGCCGCCTGGCCACTGCTGGGGCCCCCCGTCCAGGGACAGCCCGGAGGAGCTGCGACTTGCGCGCGGCCCGCCAAAGCTGACCCCTCGGCGACTCAGGAGGGCCAACTGCACCGAAGCCATCGCAATGCTCCGGCCCGACCGGTTCGGCGTGTTGGTGCCGCTGTTGCTGCCGCTACCGCCATTTGTCGTTGTGGTAGTTGTTGCCGCGGCCGTTGTCGCCGCCAGCGCCGCGGCAGCAGCTCCGGCGACGGAGAGGTCCTGCTGCGGTGCCGTCGCAGCGGCGTGTGTGACGGGATCGCTCCAGGGCGGGACCGCGGCTTGCGCGGCGCCGAACACATGCACCCAGTTGTTCATGTCCTCGCCGTCGCTGGTGATGCCCAGCATGAGGCGGTGGAGCTCCAGGGGGGCCGCACCTGCGGCAAGTGCCGCCATTGCACATGCCTTCTCACTGGCGTAGTCAGACAGCAGCTCATCCAACATGCCCAGAGATCGGGTGGGTCGCGGGGTGCGGTTGCGGACCTCCGTGGCCAGAGCGCTGGCCTGGGACTCGAACATGGCGGCGCGGGCGGCTGTCATAGCCTGGTCCTGCCGTACATCGTACAGCTCGGCCTCGAGCTCCTAAGGTAACGAGGGGTCAGGCAGCGGGCCAGGCAGGAGCAGGCTGTTACGACGGTCCGAGGGCTGGAATGTGATGTGATGTGATGTGCGGGCCAATGGGCCAATGGGTGGTGAGAACAGCAAGGAAAGCCGATTGCGAACAACCACTACACCAACTGTCCAACACACACTTTCATGCACCGCAACGCCCCAATCGCCCCAATCGCGCTATGATACTAACCCCCAATTGTGGATTTACAAAAGGTCGGGGCACAACTCGGAATATCTCCAGCCGTGGAACCCTCCTACGCTCCCCCGCATATTGCTGTCACCCTCCCCTCCCCCTTCTTAGCCCTTCTGCCGTCCTGCCGCTTCCCCGTTGTTCCTCGCCTGCACACGTGCTTGCAGCCGGGCCACCTCCCGCCGTGCCGCATCCCCGGCCGCCTGAGCCTCCATTAGCCGGGTCGAGAGGCTGTCCACCTCCCCGGCTGTCACCACTTGCCGCAACTGCGAGGAACAACGAACAAGACATCGCTGCGGCTTCACTCATTTCATCGTAAAATCGCTGCGACGGGTGTTAGGCGAGGAAGCAGCCCAGCGGGATGTGGCTACAAGAAAAGGAACTCGGTGGACGTACACACCCCGGGTGGGCAAGGTGGTTGCTTACTTGCATGCAAGGTGATGATCCTTCCTCGCTCTGTATGGTTTTACGAAGACGCGCACGCGGACACAAGTGGGAAGGCAAACCCACTTAAGCTTTCGGCACAGAGCTGCGAGCCCCTCGTCGTCTCCCGGGCGTCACTCGCTCTGCTAGGACCCGTACGAACGAACAAATACCCCGAGCCACATCAAGGTGAATATACCCATCACAAGGATCCACTTTGCATGACGCCGCAAAGTACTCGATATGCTATTTATTCGTGCGTTGCTGTTCCCTCCTGCCTGCAGCCGCTTCCCCCAAGCAAAAGCATAAACACACACCACACGAACACAAAAACACTCTGTCATGTTCCCTGCCCTGCAGCTCACCTCTCCCACTCCTATCCCCACCCAACCCTCCCACATCCACCTCTATCTCTACCTCTATCTTCACCCCCTACAGCCCGCCCCAGCTGCACCCACCCTGTCCAGCTCCATGTTGGCGGTCGCCAGCTGCCCTCTGAGCTCCTTGTCCCGTGAGCCCATACGCTCCAGGGTCTGGGTCAGCACGGCCGTGTTGTGGCGCAGCTCCTCGGACTCCTCGTTGGCCTGGGAGACGGAGGCGGCGGCTTCGCGACGGGCGGCGGCGGCATGGGACCTGCGGCAACGTGACAACGAGCGGCCCCCAGGGAGCCGCGCGGGGTTCTTAGGGTCTTAGGGTGGCATATGCATGTGAACGATAGTATGGGTGTGCCAGGGGACAGTGATGGTCGGGGGTAGTGCCCTCTCACATCACCGCCTACACCCAGAGAGACACATCAATTTGAGGGGGGCACTCCAAGGGCGCTGTGCGGCTTTCACCGGCAGCTGAGCAGCCGCCTTCTCCCCCACCTCGCGGTACAAGGAACCCACCCCCTCAACATCCCCACTCATCCAGAAACAGCCAGAGCTGCGGTCGCCGCCCAGTCGTATGCTTTTATGGCAATCGAACTGAAACCCAGGACTTCTACGCAGCTTATGATTTCATCGCGGGCTTCACAAGTCGGGCGTGCAATGGCCGGCTCGTCATGCACACAGACAGCCCACCGTTGCTAATGCAGAGTTCCTGCCGCTCGTCCAGCCTGTCGGACAGACACACACATACACACATATACATGCATACACACACACGTATACGTACACATATACACACACGCGCGCGCGTGCAGCACTGGCCTACCTGGCCATGTCCCTATCCTGCAGTGCCGCCGCCAGCAGCTGCCGCATCGTGGCCCATAGACTATGAAGCAAGTGGGCTCGCTCCACGCAGGACACGCCAACCTACCGACAGTGAAGGGTAGGGGAAGGAAAGGGCAGGTTAGCAGGAGAGGGAGGGAGGAGGGAGGGAAGGCGGTAATTTCACCCATTTAAGGAGTTGCGAAGGGAAAAGGAAGTTGCCAACGCCTCGTTTCAACAGCGTCCCTCATCTTGTGGATAACGTTTCAGCAATACCACCGGACTTTGGTTCGGTTGATTCTGCAAGGCCATCGCCTTGTGTTCTTCGCCACGAAAAGGATCTCTGCTTTCTCTAGTCTTCAGCAGCTTTGAACTGACAGCTCATCTTTGACGGCACCATTCACGCCCGTTGTTAAGAAGATTCAGCGCACGATACCATCGTATGCGCGTATCGGAAACTGCTGTGGATGCATTACAAGCCGGCCTGCACACGTCCGCTGCCTGCCGCCTCAGACCCGGACTGGCTTCAAACACAAGCGCTTCTGGCGATTGAGCAAGCTGTCCACCGCATGAGAAGCTTTCAGGCCGTAGTGACCGAGAGGAGGACAGCATCGCAATTCCAGGGCGGCCCGTGTTGATTGTCCGTGCTGCTGCATTGCTGAATCCAACCCCCTCTTTCACACACCCAGCGTACCTGCACCACCAGTCCACTTATCGCGGTCGTCAGTGCGCTCTCCTGCCCCATGATGAGGCCTGCGAGAGAAGAGGCAAGGCAGGGAGGCAATGACAGGAACAATTACGGGAGGTTGCACCATGTACGGCGCTTATTGTGCATGACCGTTAGGCCCCTGACTTCGAAAATATAACAAAATGACGAGGATGGGATTTGAACCCACGCCCTTACGGACTAGAAGTTTCTAACCTGACATACATCAGGTAGTCCTGAATCTAGCGCCTTAGACCGCTCGGCCACCTCGTCAGCAGATGACAAAGGAATCAATCGGCAAGATTACATTCCTCATAAACTGCTTATTTCCGCCGTACACAAATCATTTCCATTCCACACATACGATATCAGCAGTTACATTGTGCAGCGTACAGTAATGACACTGATTTCCCTTATTATTTGAAAGGACGGCATACGTCATGTCCGTGCACGCAGCGTCTCTGTCTGCGCCCATATGTATGTTGTTACAGGGTGGTCAACTTCGCCAGCGGCCCCCTTTCCCGGGGCAGTCCCTGCTCTCCCCTGCTAGAGGGGCACCCTAATCCGTCACCCCATCCGACTTCAGAATGTATTCGTTGGGTTCGGCAACTCACCACCAGCATCCAACCAAATCTAGCGGATCAACGGCGCATCAACTTAGTTCCTGGTCAGCTCGCAAGTTGTTTACGCATGCACACCAACCAAGCTCTCCACTGCTTTAGGGGTTCCCACGCGCTCGCCAAACAACTGCTCCGGAAACCGCCAACCCTCTATGTCACCCCTGGGAGCTCTCCCCTGACCAAGCCGAGGCGGTGTGCGCTGTACATGGAAGGCCCCGCTTTCACATGGGGAGCTCACAGGCACGATGGCCACGTCAAGCTTGCAACTGAAATGAACGTGATATCACAATGAGCGCTGAGCCGCGACTTGACACAGCCATGCATGTCAGCGCGACCAAAGCTTTATGGAACAAACGTTTAGCCTAAAAGTGCACTGCTGCGTATTTCTGATTTAAAATATTTGCACTTTGTACTTATTTGCATATTTGTACTTTTAGTAATGTTCTGATCCCACAAGCGGAGGGGGAAGGGAACCGACAAAAGCAGTGTTCTGTTTATTTAGACTAAAACATCAATTGCATAGGAATTGCGTTAAGAATGGAGTGTATAGAAAACTCTAAGCATACTCTTCGAAGCCCCCGCCGGGACTCATACTGATGCCTGCCTGCCTTAGGATAAGCTTTGCGGGTTTCTTACGCTTGACCAATGAAACCAGGGTTCCATATACCTGATGCCGAAGGGGTGCATACTGTTTCAGATTTACCCCCCCCTGTCCCAAAAGCCATGCCGAATGCCAATCTTACAACGAAAAGATGACCGGTCCGAAAGACGCCCATTCAGGCCAGGAAAGTAAGCTCGCACACAGCAAGTCTCCAAGGGAAGCAAACACAACCTGCCCATCAATCCTGCCCGGCATGGCTGGCCAAATTCTCGACAGCCGCCGATCACGGTGTCGGTTGCCTCAGCCCGCCTTCCCCGTTTGCGCACAGCGCACCACCTACTACTTGCGAACAGAGCTCCTTCCAGTCGGGACCCCGGCCCACACTTACTCTCAAGCAAGAATCCATCCGCATCCCGAGTCAGCACCGGTTGGAAGGCAACATCGTCAGGAGAGAAGGGCACCACACCCGCCGGCGGGCTGACCACCGGCTGGGCCACAGCTGCAGCGCCCGCCGCTCCGGTGCCTGAACCCACAGATGCCTCGGAAATGACGGAACGAGGCTCCGGCATAGCAGCCTTTGCTTGGTCGTGTGGGTTGAGCGTGCGACGACTGTTCTCTGGGGTCAGGGTCCAGCGGCCGACAGCTGTGCCGTTCATAAGCGCTGCAGCTGCCGCCGCCCCTGCCGCAGCCGCCTGCCCGACCTGACGGCCAACCGCGTTGCGCAGGCCCGCGCCCACAAGCACTGGTGACGAGGACCGGACAGGTTGGGGCGAAGCCCCCCGCGGCTGCTGCTGCTGCGGAGCGACCAGCGCGGACACCTGACGCAGGAGGGCTGCCTGTGAACAGGCCACCGAGGGAGCAGGGCAAAGAAGGAGAGAGGAATTGGCGCACATCCGCATAGAGCTGAGCACGCTGTGGGCGAAGCACAGGGGCACAGGGCTCAGGTCCGCCACTTCGGGCTATGTCTTTTGTTAGCAGATTCCGCCTTCATATTCCTGTGTGACCCTGGGTGCAGGCATGCGCTGCCTCAAATGCCATAGTGTCGTGGATTTTTTTCATGCCCCTCTCCCTTTTGGGAATAGAGCGCAGAGCCGCGCCTCGCCATGTATTTGCACCCTCGCCGCAAGGCACTCTGCTGTAGTACGTTTTTGAAGCGCAAAATCCCGCAAAGCTTCTGCAGCTGGTTCCCGTCCCTGGCCGCATCCACACCGGATGCAGGTCATGTTCTTTCTCTTGACAAACCCGGTAATGGTGTGACCCGCAAGCAGCACCCCATCTTGTTTCTGCCCTGTTCCCCCTCAAATCACACCTGCAACTCCATCACATCGTCCCGGGCACTCATCTTCAGAGTCTTGCCAGCGCTGAGGTTACGGAATGCTTGTTGCATTTGATAGTCTGGCCGTGTGGATGAAGGGGTCATGGCCCTGCAGGGTGATGCGGTGGCGAAATGAGAGGGGCGATATGCCGCGGACGGGCCGCGAACCACCAAGGATCCGGTGGACTGACAGGGTTCGCTCCTCCCAACACCTTCAAGCCCGCACACATGTCATCGCTGTGGCTGGTCAGCCGCAGACACTCCTGGCCATAACACTGACAGCGCAGAGCCTCCTGTACATATTTACCCTTGGAAAGAGCAAAATGATTGTGTACCGCGCGGCAGCACTTTTGCTATGAAGCAACCGGAGCAAGCGGGCCTTCATGGAAAGCACGTCTGTGCGGTGCCCCGTGTGTTACAATCCCCCTTCGATTGTCCCAGGGCCCACTATCCCTCTTCCCACACGCATAACAACACCCAACTCTTGCTGTGCCCGACCCTTTCCTACCTCATGGACGGCGCTGCTGCAGACCCCATCAGAATCTGCTCTATGTTGGGATGGGATTGGGCCGCACGCTGAGCCTCCGACAGCCCTGAGGTCCCCTGGGTTGAGCCAGCCGCCAGTGCTGCTCCAGCCTCCGCCGCACCCGACCATCCCGGGGGGTTGCCGCTGGGTACCGTGGAACCCCGCACCGGGGACACCGGGGCTGAGGACACCACTGGCGGCACCGGCGATGACCGGCCCAGTTCCGTTTCCGATGGGCCTGAGGGCATAGGCCGTTTTGCGGCGCGGTGGAATGGTTGGAGGGACTAGCAGTGGAGGCGAGGCAGCAGTGCTACGGATGGATTTTAAGCATAGAACGCGGCATTCTCCTAGACACAGCAAGCGTTTAGGTGTTGCGCTTTCGACGATCAGAGCACGGCACGTCTTCAGGGCTTGTGCGCAGCCAAACAGCCACACGAGCCCCGTCTACGTTGACCAGACCCAAGTTACAGCGCGTTGTGAGGCCCGACACCCAGCCCAGCACCCCGTACCACAACAAACATGTGTGTGGGCGCCCATACTCAGCCCAACTGAAGACATGCGACACCGCTGTCGCGCACCTGTTCCCAGCTGCGCGACAGTGTTGGGCGTGTATGGTGGAGTTTGTAGCTGCGCCATGCCTCCTTGTAAACTACCATTGCTGGAGGTGGCAGGGCTGCTCGTGCCGCCGCGGCGGGGGCTGCCCCGTGGCGGGGGAAGCTTGGTCATCAGGAAAGGTGGTGACGAGTAGCCGCCGTACATGCTGGACGGCGGTGGCATGCGACTGGACGCAGCAGGCCTGTGGAACCCCCAGCCAGGGTGTTGGCACGACCTTTAGCGCGTGCGTGCAATCCAAGCTGATAAGTAAACCGTCATACATACATTGCGGCAAGCGCAGGGGTGCACAGCTCAGCTCAGTTTAGCTCTTACGGATCCGAACCGGTCACATGGCAGGGATGGGCGCGGCTTTCACAACACTCAATGATCCTCTTCAGTGCGCGAGCCTATGTGAGCGTGGGAAGAGGCCAGGGGAAACGGAGGGCGTCCAACGGGCCGGGCCAGTCGATAATGCATACGAGCTGCGGCCGTAACTGCCAATGAGGCATCCAGAAAGAGAGGACGACAGCTTTGCACCTATGATCTACGCACCTGGAAAGGGGCGCTGCCGCTGTTGCTGAAGCAGTTGCCATTGGAATTTCCGCGGGGGATGACGGCGTCGGAGCTTGCTGCACACCTGCCCCTGGAGTAGCCGCCGTCGTTGGTGTCTGCGGCAGCTCCGGTAAGTATGGCAGGTGGCTGCTGGTCCCTTCAACCCGGGGCCCCGAAGGAGGGGAGGGCTGCTCCAGCCAGTTCGCCGCCGCGGTGCGGGAGGAAGGAGCCATCCGTGATGTCGGACGCGTAGGACCGTCCAAGATGGTAGGTCGTACCTGGTCAAAGGACCGCCGCTGCGACACTGCGACCGGACCTGGCTCTGGGGAGCGAACAAAAAGCATTGAACCATCCGGTGCGTTGCCGGTCGAGCCCCGGGCCTCGGGCGAAAGCGGCGGCGGCGCCAGGTCATTAATGTCATTGCTGCTGCTGTTGATGTCGTCTCCAGCATGGAAAGCAACCGCAATCGCAGCTGCGCCGCTTGGGGGCTCGTTGAAGTTTAGCAGCACAGTTTTAGACTTGAGCGTGGACGAGGTCGGGCGGGTGTGGCGCTGCTGTTGCACCGGCTGCTGCTGCTGCTCCAGCTCCAGCTCCAGCTGCTGCTCCCGATGATGCTCTTGTTGTTGCAATTGATGTATTTGCTGATGCGAGACGTCTTCCTGGGCATCCGAACCTGGCTCAATTGTAGAGCGGGGCTGGGGCCGACCAGTGCTACTACCAGCACCACGCATAGCTGTGGTGGTGACGGCGGCCGCACCTACGCTTGCCGGACCGCCAGCTGGCACGATGACCTGGCCACCTGTCGGTGTCGCTGCTGTTGCTCGGCTAGACTGCTCCGGCCCTGCACTGCCGCAGCTAGCGTTATCAACACCGCCGGCTACCTGATCCCAGGGACGCATTGCGCGGCTACTGCGGCAGAAATTTGCTTCTGCCGCGCCGCATGGCCCACCGTCAGAGCTCGCGTCAATATCAGAGGACCGGCGCGGCGTTGCGCATGGGCTGTTTATGTGAAGTCGGGGGCTCAAGCCAAGGCCGCCGCCGGTGCCTGGTCGGGGACATGAGGGGCTGCGCCCCGGACTGGAAGGAGTGGGGCCAATGAAGGTTCCCCTTGGCGACACAAGAACGCCAAGTGGAGCATCGGCCTGAGGAAACTGCCCGCTGGTGAGCGTGAAGCTGACACCACGGGCAAGGACGCGGAGTTGGGAGGAGTGAGTACGCCGACATTGCAAATTACGCGGGTAAGGCAGGCCATCACTGATAGAGACAGAGAAAAGTTTTGGATAGGCGCAGCCCTTGGCGTTAGGGAAGACGGGTTAAGGGTGTTGCTAGCTACGTCGGCGTTACAGGTCTGACTAGCCCACATACAGCGAAGCGACGCCTGTTGGGACGCCTCCATTTTTTGTAGCAATCCAACAATGACAGTACATAGAAAGAGATTATGAGGATAACGCCATGACCGGAAGTTAACCATCCTGCAACTTCAGCGAGATAACCGTTTCCGGAAGCCGGAAAGTCGGCATCCACGAGCCGAGTCGCTGCTACGCGGCGGCACAGGAAAGGTTAGCTTTACAAAAATCTTACCTCAAGCTCTTGCTCGGCAAGGCGGCTAGCTTGGGGCGCTGTATAGCCCGACTAGGTTTCTGGGGTCCAGACGCGAGGTCCAGTTGTTGCCCAGAATGAGAAGAAATTCTAGCAGCAACTTGTGCTTGAGGGCCTGTGAGCATAGCACAGGTTTCATTAAGGAGGGCACCTGAGCATATGACATCACAAGAACCGACAGGGGCAAGCATATACTTTTCCATGGTCAGCTTACGCACCAGCTGTTTGACCTGATCGCGGACTTCCCCTGGAAGCTCCCCTGCGGACCCGGCGGCAAGCCCAATTCAAGGATTGTAACAAGACAACAGCAGCCGGATGTATACACAGTCCAGTACACATGTAGCCAACTGACCTTCCTTCGTCCATAGTTTCACAAATGTTAACAGCTCAAAACTGCATTCTTAAGCTAGGACCCATGCAAACTGTCGGAACGGTCTTGCAGCCAAGGCATACACTATTGCCACATTAATGAAGTCCATAGCAGTACAACAATGGAGCACAAGATTAGCTTTTCAAGGATGTTGGAAACGAGGCCTCAATCAGGTGTGTACGGTATCGATAAGTTTCCTCCTCCGTCCTAGCATGAAATACACTCAACGCTTTAGCGCATGCTAACCAGTGTAGAACTTATCATTAGGGTACACTTTCAACTGCTATCTATCACCTTCGTGCAAGCCCGACAATTCTATCCAGCTCACCTTCGGCCAACATGATTGCGCTTAGAAGTGGAAGTGGAATTTCACCTCGTCAGGTTTTATACTATACAAATGTCTGCTAAGGGAAAGCTTTAAGCCTGACTGGTGACACACTGTGTGCGCGGATGAACGAGCCTAAGGAAGCGCACCTTACATGGAGCCTAAGCGCATTTTCCTGAAAGGGAACATTTGGAGCGCCCGCCTGCCTGCTTGGCAGGCTGGCCACGTCTGAACTGTCTGCATCTCCCGTCCCGCGCTCCCTTCGGGCCTGTGTTTTCCCAGCTATTGGAGCCCAGCAGTAAGATCGCCCTTTCATTTTAGGTTTTCGTCTTGAGGCCCGATGAATTGGGCCCTGGGGCCCGCATGGTTGTGAAATGCCGACCTGACACCTTTACCCATAAATCTGATAGATGGGTTGCGGCGGGAGCAAGCAGGGCGTGGTACCAGTCTATGATGACCTGCATGCTCGTGGGAATGGCTCTGAGCCAACAGCGCAGCGTGCGGACGGCAAAGGCCATGGTGGCAAGTCGGCCCGCCACCTAGGGGGTTCGCCCAGCAAGCGACAAGTGGACCGCAAGGACAACCAGTCCTTCTTCGACAAGTCTCGATCGGCGAAAGGATATAATATAAATGGCGCAAAATCGCAAAAGCGTGTTGCTGCATTCGCAAGCCGGAAACCCGCGCGGCTCGATGCGCCTCCCGACGCGGACTGCAAGAAACAAGCCATCCCGGGGGGAAAGAGCCGGTTTGCCAGAAGTATCATGGCCGTCACGGACGCCGTATTTGGACCGCCGCCAGAATGGATTTTGCGGCAAACTACCCCAATCAAGGGGTAAGTTTGGGTTTAAGGGCTGAGGGACATGGTGGGGGGGAATGACTTACACGGGGGGTTGAGGAGGAGCAACCTGACAGGTTCGTTTAGAGCCACGGTTCCGCACGCGCCATCGCTGTGCCGAGCCTGTTTGCCAAGAAACAGTCAGCTAACCGCCATGCTAAGGCTATGCTTGCTGTTGGGACATGGCAAACACGGTTGCCGCCAACCGCGCCCACACCCACCTATGCAACGCCAAGATACCCAAGCCTGACAAGGGTCTGGGTTTTGGGGTTCCATCGTTTGGCAACAAAGAAGGGTTCCTTTCATTCGCATGGACACGTGTAAAGTCTTGGCGTGTAACGGAGGGTTCAACCTGCAGGGTGGGCTGCGCCGGCTATGCCTCATGCACCGGAAGCCGTCATAAACCCTTATGGCGGGGGGATTTGGGGTGGCCTAAGCGGCAGCTCATGGGACGGATGGTAGCGGGCCGGTGGGCCGGCTACACACTAGGGACGACGCGCCGGCCCATGGGTCCCTAAACAGTGGAGATCCCTGTGCATGGAACACGGGTAGGAACGGATCCTCGTTCTGGGGTAAGGACGATACATCGCAGCGCTTGTGTGGCTGGGTAAGGGGCGGCCCGCAGCGCAATAGCGGCAAAGGTTTGCCCACAGTCCCTCAGGCTTGCCTACAAACCGTGAGCTTGGAAGTTAGACGCGCTTCCATTGCCTCCTATGCACTTTGTTTTGGGATGCCGATGATTCATGTCGGATTCGAGACGCGTGCGTTATTTGCCTGCCGGCCCTCCTGAACCGCCACGTCCATTTTGTTTTGCCCGAACAGTCAGTACCAGTTCCTTGGAGTGGTCGGCCGTGGGCAATTCGGCCAGGTGAGGACGGGACACGGTGGGAGGTTGGGCCGCCGCGTACGATTGGGCAATTTGGGTTGTTTCTTAGGGCCACCTGGCTGGAAGGCTCCTTGCTGCATTGGTCCTTATCAATGCTATGCCGGCGACGTTGGGCACGGCAGTTTGCTCTACCGTCTGGGTGCCTCCGTATACCCTGGGATTGGAAACCTGCGGTTGCGGCATGTAGCCCGATAAGCCGCGGCGCCCCTGTTGCCATGCTAAATGAGGACGTTGGCCGCTGGTGCGACAACTATAACGCAGTTGGTACGCTCTTTAGGAACTGGTAAGAACTCAACTGGAGTTGATCATGGTACAGGTCTGAGCTGAAGACCCGCAGACGATTAACGGGGCTCACAAGCCGGGGGGCCGGCTCCTTGCGGGCCGCTTGGGGAGAAGCGCGCGGGAAGTGCTGGCGAGTGCAAACACCTCCGCGGGTTATTGACCTTGACGATTTCGATGTAAAAAGCCTATTCGTTTCTTACATAGTTTCCGTGTTCCCACGAAAGAGTCAGTGAAGAAAGAAAGGGTTGTCTGCCCGCACGAGAGGGTCCGGATGTGTACCTGGGTTTGTAAGCCCGTTTTTAACATGACGTACATATTCCTATACAGGTCTTCCTGCGTGTCAACCTGGTCCGCCCTGGCGGCAAACGCCTGATGGCAAACGCCTGGCGGCACATACCTAATGCGCCCCATCCAAACACCCTAGTAGTTACCACGCCCATCTCCCACATACGGGTTGTCGTGGCGGCTATCCTTACGAGCTATGTCTCCTGGTATTTCTACAACTCTGCGCCCAGCTTCCGCTTCTGCTGCCACTGCCATGTTTCAGGTATACTGCATCCGGACCTTCAAGCAGAGCCAAAAGTTTGCTTGCAAGACGCTAGGCAAGAAGAAGCTGCTGTCCCAGCTGGACGCGGACGACATTAAGCGCGAGATCGAGGTGATGCACCACCTTTCGGGACACAACCTGGTGGTCAGCCTGCACCAGGTATTCGAAGACGAGAAGAACGTGCACCTGGTCATGGACCTGTGCCAGGGCGACCTCTACGAGCTGCTGCGCGAGTGCAAGTACCTGCCCGAGGAGAAAGCCGCGCCGCTCATGATGCTTGCCATCCGGGCCGTGCAATACTGTCACGCCATGGGCGTGGTGCACCGTGACATCAAGCCCGAGAACTTCCTTCTGGCCACACGCAACGACCTCAGCCACATCAAGCTCACCGATTTTGGGCTGTCCACCTTCTATCAAGAAGGTGAATTGGAGTGTGTGGGTGCGGCCCGAATGTGGTGTTGTCCGCGGCCCATGCATGTAATGCTAGGAGTGTGTTGGATGCTGGCGAAAGAGCACGCTGTTCACATGGTGGTCGTAAAGCAGCGACCGCCATCCTCAGTGCACCTCATTCAACCGCAATACAGGGTTTATCCTTTGGACGTTCCGGCTGCAGCGGCCAGGGATCGACCCTTTGCAACTTGAGTGAGTACCGATGCCCAGCTGACCTACCCCCTACCCTACACCTTGGTGCCCCTCCCCGTACCCTCCTCACTGTGGACCTGCAGGCCAGATATTTAATGAGCTGCTTGGGAGTCCCTACTACATAGCGCCTGAGGTATGTTCTTGCCAGGGAATTATTGGGGGTTTGGGCAAACGGAAAGAAATTCATGTGAAGGAGGCGGAAGCAACAAAATAACGATTCCTGCAAGATGACGGGTCACCCATGCACGTTTCGGTCTCATTGCTAAGTGCACGTGCCGAGTACTGTCACCGAAACCGATGTGATGTATCTATCAATAAGGAACACGGGGAAGCCCGATAACGCGTCAACCGTCACATGAGTTCAGGAGCTGTACTAACTCACATCCTTCCTCCTGCACTTTAGGACGCGTGCAGCACCATACAGCGCCAAGGCAACCTTGCTGGCGGACTGGACTGGGCGCGTGTCAACTCATAAGCCCATACCCCGACCCGCCACTACATGCTAGTCACCACCGTTGTCAGCGCCCACATCTGCTTACCTCCCTTAATCCTTTTTTTGTACTTGCCGATCCGCTCCAGGTAATTCGACAAAAGTACGGCAAGGAAGCCGATGTGTGGTCATGCGGCGTGATGCTGTACATCATCCTATGCGGTGAGGCGCCCTTCTTCGGCGAGGGTGATGAGGGCATCTTCAAGTCCATCATGAAGGCCAAATTGGATTTTAGCTTCGAGCCCTGGCCCAGTCTGTCGCGAGACGTCAAGATGCTCCTACGCCGCATGCTCGTCAAGGACCCACGAGAGCGCGCCACACTGGAGGAAGTCCTGGCACACCCCTGGTTTGCACGCTACACGCCGCAGCCCGACTCCATCAAGGCACCGGGGCCGCCTGCCCCTGGCGCGGAGCGCACCGGTGGCCCCGCCTCCATGCTGCCACCGCTGCCGCAAGGCGTGGGCCGGCTGCCCTGCAGCAGCGGCAGCGGCAACGAGCATCCACTTTTCAGCCGCATCAAGCGCTACTCAGTTGCCAGTCGCACAAAGAAGGCGGCGCTGCGTTATATCGTGGCCAGCCTGCCGGATGAGGTGACGGCGGGGCTGTACAACCTGTTCCAGGACTTTGACCTGGACCACAACCATGTGATCGATTCGCGTGAGTTGAAGGAGGGTTTTAAGCGGCGCGGCGTGGTGCTGCTGGACGAGGAAGCCACCGCACTTGTCAACTCGGCCGACCTGGACGGAGACGGAGTACTCAACCTGGTGGAGTGGCTCGGCGCCACCATTCACATACCTGAGGAGCAGGTGCGGGGCATAAACTGCCAAGCTGTTGTAGTAGCGAAACGACTGTGGGCGAGCAGAGCCGATGTATTTGCGCTGCGCTACAATTTGTGACATGCAGCAGCGCGTTGGTTTGGCGTCACGGGCTCCTGCTCCGTTAATCTCGTGTATCACGTGTTCTCTGCAGCTGGGCGTTGTGGCTGTGACTCTCATTGTCGGTTTCTTGCGCAGGTGAGCTCGCTGGTTTTGGAGGCGTTTGCATTCATGGACACGGACCGCAACGGCTACTTGACATGTGGGGAGCTGGTAAGCTACCTGGGGGAGAGCCACAAGGAGCTGGCGGAGCTGATCATTGCGGAGGCAGACACCGACCTGGACGGCCGCATCAGCGGCGAGGAGTTCAAGGCAGCATACGCCATGACCATGGACCGGTCGCGCGCTACATCCAGGCCCAACACGGCCACGGGGTCATGGGGCGCGGGCAATGGCCGGGCTTCCAGCGGCACGGCCGCTGCTGCAGGGCGCCCAGTTGGAAAAGGTGGCAGCGGCAGCGTCGAAGGCGGAACGACTGGTATGGCTGTGGGGGAGGCCGGCGGGCAGAGGTTAAATGGTGTAGCTGTTGACGGCGGGCAGGACCCCAACGGTACGGTGGTGCGGATGACGAGCGTCACGTCAGTGGTGAGCATGGGCGATGAGCTGGCTCAGAACAGCGGCATAGTCAGGTCAGAATCGCAGATGGATGATTAGGAGGGTTGGCAGCGGGGTGTCGCGTGCCTCAACGCAGAAGAGGCTCGAAGGTTGCAGATTGCGCAACTTGCTTTACTGAAGCGCTTGGTAATGGTAATGTTAATGCATGTGCTGTTACGGGGCGGGGCGGGGCGGCCAGCAATCGGCCATACATTGCGTGTACGCAGGAGTCGGTGTAGTGTTTACGCGCAGAAGACAGGGCCCGATCCGTGGGGCATGCCTGGTGAGTTGTGCTTTGTAGGTGTTATGGGTTTGCTGGGTTGGTGTGCGAGGAGCCGTCCTCAGGCCTGAGGTGAGACGGTGGGGGGCTTTATCCGCACAACTCGGCACCGCGGGTTTCGGCCCGGCGGGACGCACCTATGCACCGCGCAGCGTAATAACTGTCGCAGGGCCAAGAAAGGTGAAGCAGGGGTATCTCCGAGGTGCTGCCGTTGCCAGGCGATTAAACGCATCCGCCATGCCGCGGATAGGTCCACATCACAGGCCGCCGATTGCAGCTGACGGCATATTCAGCAGGATGTATGTCTCTCAGCCTGGACGGCTGATTTCACAGCCGCTTGGTAAAAATTGCGATACTTTTGGCAACTGCAGCACCATAAGTGCGCGTCCCTGTGTAGTTTTGCGCGTGTTTGTGCATGCTGGGGGCCCGGAGATGGTGAATAGTGGTGCAGATGCACACCAGTCCTGAAGAGGGCCCCAGTGGTGATCTGGCGTCGCAGCATTTTATTAGCTTCCTGGTCAGCGCTTGGATTACCATATTCACCATGTCGTTTGCGCAGCATATATGTCCGTACTGACAAGCGCGGGCTGTGTTATTGGTGACCCACTGGATGCATGGTCCATTTAGCAATGGCTTGCCTGCTGGTGTCGTTATCCGTAGGAGGGGCCAAAGGAGAGGCGAACGAACGTGAGCCGAAGCAAGGGACAGTGCAAATGCAGGAGATGCAAAGAGGCGGGTGAGAGTGCACTTGTAGTTAGACAGGTGATTGTGATTGTGCTGCATGCAAACATTGCTCTAGATGTTTGGATTGTTGGATGATCCGGGTTTTTGCGTGGTTCACGTGTGACGGGCGTTTCCACACATGTCGCCCCGACGCTACTGTGCAGTTGTGAGCCACTGTGACCTCTTGACAGCCCGTCTGGGTGAAACGGGGTAGCAGGCAGGGCCGCGCGGCGGCGGCATTCGGTTGACACTGCAGCTGCTGTTTGCGCTGCGGCCACCGCTGCTGTCGCACATAAGAGGACGCGGCGGGCCGGTAATGTTCATTGTTCATGCAGCCATTACGTTCATCACCACATTACGGGGACAAGAACCGGGGTGGACCATTTCCTTGGAAATGTTCTTGGATGCATTGCTGCCAGCTCTGCGATGCACGACTAGCATGTTGATTGTGAGTTGCGGCCGCACATTATGGCATTAATATGTTGATGTTTTGCGTACTGATGTACGGCTTTATGTGATACGTGCGAAATGTCGTAAGAAACAAGAGGGGGTTTGGATAACCGGGGCAAGGGCACGCCGAAGTGTGCGTTGCCCATGCCAAAACGCATGGCGAGGTGTACGAATGACCGTGTGCATGGCGCCTGGAGGAGGTGCAGTGCTATCTGCAATATCTGCAATGCAGCCTACGGAAGAAGTACTGTGATCTGTTCGTGCATATGTGTCCATGCATACAGCTGTTGCTCATCGTTAAACGGTGCGAAACGTGTTATTACCCCTTTTTAGCTGTGCTGGTGCAGCGGGTGTGTGTCGTTGTTGTCCATGACGATTTGGTGCCTGTACAGCGTAGCCCACCAGCTATAGCCAACGGTTCGCGCTACACGCATATGCGTACACTCAGTCCCGCCCATGTTGTACGGCACACGGGATCGCTGGCAGCGCCAGTGGCCTGGTTTCCGTGATCGTGCGCTAGGTAAGCCAATCATATAAAACATCTTGACAGCATTCGTGTAAGCAAAGCGCGATTCGTCCTTACTGTCAATGAGTCCAGGTCTCTACAGCAAGAAGTTAAGGATGATACGAATATATGATCTGCTGCAAAGACAGAGGTCAGCGAGGTCTAGAGCAAGGACGGTCTGGCCGGTAACTGTCTGGGATTGGTGACTCATGGGCGACAAGATGAGTCAACTGTACCGGCTAATGTGGGCAGGTTAAATGGTAATGATTTCCTGTCCTTCTGTCTCCCTTAACCTGTAATCTCGTGGTTCTGCCGAAGCCGACTGTGCTGTAGATAAGCGACATTGGAGAGCGGGAACCGGCTGCCAAGGGCCGCAGAAGAACACAGCCAAATCAGAAGAACACCGGTCGCGCGCCTGCGGGGCCCCCACGCAGCCCCAAACCAACCGCGAAGCCGCAGCCGAACCCCGCCGCACCCAGCAGCAAACCCGGCCGCGCACTCGCAACCGGCTAACTGACACGCAAAAAGAGACTCCCCCCAAGCCACAGGCCCCACGGCGGCCGCTTCTCCACGTAGACAAAGACGCGGCCTCACCGCCCGAGACCGAACCTACGACACAAAGCCTCCTCCTAGCAGCTCACTCTCCCCACACACCCGTAGCCTTCTCCCTCTCCCCCCTTTCTCCCCGAGCACCCCCTGCTTCGGCCGCCACCGGGCTCGGTCTTCAGCGAGCTCATTGGGGGCGGCCCGCTGTGCAGGCGTCTGCGGAGCAAACATAGGAGGGTTGGGCCCCTAGGAGTGAGGCGGGCGGGGAACTAGCAGCTACAAAAGCTGAAGCTCTACTGAGTGAAAGGCAGAATGCTCCTGAAACGAAAAAGCGGAAGCGCAATATGCTTACCACTCGATAGCGGTCCTTCGACAGTCACACAGAACCAGACTCCGATTGCTTCGCTCCGTCGCATCTAAGTCAGCAAATATGTTCCCACAAGCTCACCAACTCCGCCGTACAGCTACACCCATGTAAATCCTCGTACCGTTCAAACCCTGGTTCAAATCAGTAAAGCTCACCCCGAGGAAAGCCTTGCATGGCCCCTACTAAGCTTGAGCAGCATCGTCGGTGCGGTCCAAGAGAACACACGACACAAATACTCGGATATGACAGTTGCCCATGTTGTCTTGCGTCGGTGTTTCCGAAGCAGCCATGAGCCCAACCCGCCCCAGCCCAACCTAGGCCAAACCCGGACCGGCTCACCTTCCTTACCCAAAATTATGACACTCGATGCCATGCACCGGTCATGCGATAATGTCGTACAGTCCGATCACAGAAAATGCAGTGTGATGGGAATGGGTTCGTATTGGTGCGAGGTAATGCAACCCAACGCTGTTGATTGCAACCCTCTTTAACCTGGGCTGGCAATAAACCAGTAAAACCCCAATATTTCCGCCAGAACCACGTGAAACGCCTTGAAAGTCTATACGCTGTCCACGAAAGTGTGGGAAGTAGTGCACAGCGTCGTACGGGGACGGGGGCTAATGGCTCGGCGGTAGCGGGACGGGATTCTGGAAGGCATTGAGAGGGCTCACTGAAACGCGGCAGTGAGTTGCTATGTGTTGGGCGCGATGGTGCTGGCCGGCGGGGTGGTGGTGGTGGTGAGCCGGCGGTCAGGGATGGCGGCGAGCGCAGCTTGCACTGAGAAGTGAGCCACGGTAGGCGGTTTCAGCAGCGTCTACGCAAGGAAGACAAGAAATTGTGGGATCACGGGCGCGGCGGTGAAGGAAGAATGGCCGGAGAGCGGGAATTGAAGGCGTAAGAGTGCTAGACATTGCGCTGGCAAGTTGCAGTTGGGTGGCACGACAGCTCACATAGGCTCTAATACTAGTTGCAAGAGACCCGGTAGCGTTACAGTTATCTGGGATTCCGTGTTCGGGCTACCGGACAACGGCTTCAAACTAGACGTCCCAGTCTCCAAGCTAGGTACGATGTCGAGGGACGATATACGTCAAGCTTACTGACTACGGAAAATGAGACACGCTGGAACTCTCAAAACTCGCCAACTTCATCGTACAGGCGCAAGAAAATATTCGTACCATTCAAGAGCTATAGTTCAAGCCAAGTTGAGCTCGTCTTGAAAAAGACTTCTCCTACCTTGTTGGTCAAAAGGTTATGAATGATAGAATCTTTAGCTGTCGGATCCACCGCTGCGTCCGTCCATTGTCCTCCGTAACATTAACCCAACTTCTTTTGGCGTGCTGAGGGGAGCAGTATGAATATTTTACGAAATGCAGATGGATGTTAGGCGATTCTCTCAGCCCGTAGACCGTTTGCCCCCATCGCCGAGGCGCTTACCAGCCTTGTGGAGCTCGCCGGCTAGAAGGTTAAGCAACAGCATGCTGAGCTACCATCCCTGCCGAGATGCAACGCCGCATGGTCAGCAGGTGCAGTAAATCCGCACCGGTCTGCGTTCCTCTGGTTACATACGTTTCCTAACTATGAATTGCTGCTCTCGCAAAACGTCTCCGGCCCTGTAGTACAAATCGCCCCGTACCGGTGCACGGGGCGCGCTTATCACCATGGGAACCAGCAGCAACAGCTCCTCTCCAGATGAGATGCCGCTTACGGTAACCCGCACGCAGCGGCGGCCAGCCTCTCGACGACACATATTGGAGTCGGATGATGAGGGGGATCACGCTTCCGATTGTGTCTATCCGCAGCCTGTGTTACTCGGGGCAGGCAAAGTTATACATGGCCAGGCAGCCCCAGCCTCACCAGCGACGGAAACCCAGGCGCAACACGCTCTGCAAGACCGTACCAACCTGGCCTCCGTCGGGACCGGGTCAACGAGTCGACCGTTGCATTTCCCCCTGAACGGGGCTGCAGTCCGGCAGGAACTTGGTAAACCTGGCATCCTAGAACTAGCTGCAATCCTCAGGTCTAAGGAAAGGTTTGATTGCACCAGCACGCCAGCTCTTAAGACCGGTTCCGGCTTGGCCGCTCCGCCCTGTGGCCACCAGAGCGACGGCAGTAACGTCACCGATTCGCCGCCAATCCGCAGCACACGAGCACCCCGCACAGGACGTCGGATGATCTTGTGGGATGACAGC